TAAAGATTGCCAGAAGAACTCCGGGGCAGGTGTAGAAAACACTCACTTTTGACTTTTTTTTTTTTTTTTTTTTTAATTGACTAAATTTCAAATTGACTGTCCTTTTTTTTTATTATTATTAATTATTATTATTTATTCTCACAGTATGGTAAAAAGTCCAGGAGTACTTGTGGCACCTTCGAGACTAACAAATTTATTTGAGCATAAGCTTTCGTGGGTTACAGCCTGCTTCTTCAGATGCATAGCCTGGAACATATAGTAAGGAGATATATGTACACATACAGAACATGAAAAGGTGGAAGTAGCCATATCAACTCTAAGAGGTAATTAATTAAGATGAGCTATAATCAGCAGGAGAAAAAGAAAACCTTTTGTAGTGATAATCAAGATGGGCCATTGCAGACAGTCGACAAGGGGTGTGAGAATACTTAACATGGGGGGAAACAGATTCAATAGATTTTTTTTCTCCTGCTAATTATAGCTCATCTTAATTAATTAGCCTCTTAGAGTTGATATGGCTACTTCCACCTTTTCATGTTCTGTATGTGTGTATATATAACTCCTTACTATATGTTCCAGTCTATGCATCCGAAGAAGCAGGCTGTAGCCCACGAAAGCTTATGCTCAAATAAATTTGTTAAGTCTCGAAGGTGCCACAAGTACTCCTGTTCTTTTTGCGAATACAGACTAACACGGCTGCTACTCTGAAATCTGTCATAGTATGGTGACCTTCCATGTTGACAACTTAATGCAACATCCTCATAACTGGCTGATGTTTTGTAGTTCCAGCTAACTTCAATACCTGTGATCATCCTGTAACTTGGATTTTCTAAGATGTTTCCTGGTCCAAAGATCAGCAATATAATGGCCTGCTTATGACACTGCAATTAAGTGCAGCCTCATGACGTTGTCACTTATGTTGCAGTGGAGCACAACAAATTGACAGTGAGTCACTCCATGATGCAATTTAGTATGTGAAACTGGCAGCCGTACAAATGAGACAAAACTAAAGTCAAAGTGCTTGTAACATTCAAATTACTACTATGTAAACACAGCCAGAAGTTTGCAGATTACAAAACTGTATTAGAAAATGTACTAAAAGGACTCGGAGAGACATGCCTCTTTATTTAAAAAAAAAGAACAAGGGGGGGGTGGAGGGGAGTCCCTACTATCAGATTTTTTGGGTCTTTAAGAAGAATTTGTGGCTTTAGAAAAACTCACACTGTGAGAGAAGGGGCTGACTGAGTCAGCAAAATGGAATAAATTGCCTGGGAATATTTCTCTTTTTCATAGCCTCCTAATTTAATTAATAATCCTTTTCTGAAGGAATGTTTTTAAACAATTGTAAATCAGTAAAATTAAGAATGTTGAAAGTTCATGAAACTTCTTACCTACTGTATTTCTTCTTGTTATTCAGACTTAAACTCAGCCCTTTACTTATCTAAGCAGATCATCTATCTCAGTAAGGGCATGATCCAAATCCCATTGTAGCTAGTGGAAAGGCACCCATTGACTTAATCAAGCTTTGGATCAGGCTCTAGTATGTCTGGGTACAGAGAGGTGAATCCAAAATTCAGGGTACAATATATTAATAAAAATCTAAAAATATTTTTTTCTTGCTGGTTTTAGAAATTAGGCATAACTCACTAGGCTAACAAGTTCCAGCCATTCTTTGTTCTTTTATAACTAGATAGTTTAAAGCCTGTTAACTAGTTTAGCTTTTTTTATTCCCTTCAGCCTACTTTTAAAATAAGCGTGTACTTAATAGTGAATATTCTATTTAGGAAAAGCATCTGCCAGTCAGATTGCATAGATAGGATTTCACTAGTTCCTAAAGGTCTGCTGTTGTAATTTTCCCCGCTACTTATTTTGGCCTCTGGAGAAATATGTATTTCACTAGGTCTGAATAGAAATGGTGGCAACTTGCCATTAAGCAGTGGGGTCTTGGCAAATAGATAAACAACATTTTATCAACCCAGTGACTGCTTATGTAAAAGTCTGGCATTTTTCTTGTGCTGGTAAATGCAACGCTGTTCTCTTTAAAACATGAAACAAGTTATTTATCCTAGGGCTGGTTGGGGTGTGTGTGTGTGTGTGTGTTTTAAGACTAACTCTTTCTGTCAGAATGAACCTTGTTCACTTTTCTGAATTGAGCTTAGATATATGGGACGGGGGTGGATGTGTTTGAAGAATAATTATCTAATTAATAGAACTCCTACTGCTGTGTGATTTCCCACTGCTAAACACAAATGACCTGTTACTATAACAGAAGCCATGTATACAACCATTTCTGAATTAATTTGAATTCATGAGCTTATCACAATAAAGCTGTTGTTTTCTTCAGACTTGTCTCCGCAAGGTGTTAAATGCCTCCTGCAGGGTGCTGAGCTCCTTTAATTCCACTTGTAATCAGTGGGATTTAAAAGCACTCACCACCGTACACAATTGGAACCCGTGTTGTGTTCGTTATGCTTGCAGACCAAGGTGCATGTGCTACTTTAGACCCCGATTCTGCCCTGGGAAGTCTGCAGGCCCATCCCTATCTCAGCACTGTTCGTAGTTCAGGATTAGGGCTGTAAGATGTGTTCTACCCTGGATGTATTATGGATAGATTTAGATGAACACTAAAAGAAATTTGAGGTAAGATTTTTCTTTAAAAAAAATCCAACAATTTAGTATTGCAGATGGGGTTGTGTTCAAAGCCTCTTATCTTTGCATGTGCATTGTGTATTAAATTTCAATTCTCCTCCTCCCTCCCACCCCCCCCAATTAGTGCTTTGAAGTTTATAGAAATGTTTCAATGCTTAATTTGTATCCTTCTAAGACAGGGATGGACAAACGGCCCGAGGGCCACATTGGGGTTGCAAAACTGTATATGGAGGGCCGGGTAGGGAAGTCTGTGCCTCCCCAAACAGCCTGGCCCCCGCCCCCTATCTGCCCCCTCCCACGTCCCGCCTCCTGATTGCCCCCCCTCAGAACCTCTGACCCATCCAACCTCCCCCCCACTTCTTGTCCCCTCACCTCCCCCACCCCATCCACACCCCCACCTCCTGACAGGCCCCCTGGGATTCCACACCTATCCAACCCCCGTTCCCTGTCCCCTGACCGCCCCCCCCTCAGAACTTCCACCCCATCCAACCATCCCCTGACTGCCTCCTGGAATCCCCCGCCCCCTTACCATGCCAGAGCCAGCCACACCGCCTCACTACCCGGCAGGAGCGGCGGGCCAGAGTGCTGGCGGCGCTGAGGCTGCGGGGGGGACAGCAGGGGAGGGGCTGAGGAGTAGCCTCCCCGGCTGGGAGCTCAGAGGCCGGGCAGGATGGCCCCGTGGGCCAGATGTGGGCCGTAGTTTGCCCACCTCTGCCCTAAGAGTCTGATCGTTATGGGGATTTCAATTTTTTTTTTTTTTTTAAGACCTCTTCCCTCTGCTCCTTTTCTCTAACAATCCTGCTGGTTGGATTATCCTGCTCATGTATCATCAGTCTGGTACAACCACTAGCAAATTAAGATTGCCTGGTTTGCAGGTCAGATGCTACAAGCCTAGGCTATAGCTAGTTGACATGACAGAGCTGCTGGATTTGTACTTTGCTTTGTGTCAAAGAAGTACTTCAGTTTTTACATACAAGACATTTCCCTAAACAACAGAAAACAGGAGCACTACACTGCAGAACCACATATAAACTAGAGAATGCAACCACTTGTATCTGAGAAGGATATATTGCACAGATTTAAAAACAAATGGTTCATTTTGGGTATGTCTACACTGCAATTAGACACCTGTGGAGGGCCCATGCCAGTTGGCTCGGGCTAAGGGGCTGTTTAATTGCAGTGTAGACATTCAAGCTCAGGCTGCAGCCTGAGCTCTGGCACTTGAACATCTACACTGCAATTAAACAGCCCCTTAGTTCAAGCCTTGCAAGCATGGACCAGCTGTGGGTTTTTAATTTCAGTATAGACATGCCCTTTGTGGTCCTGCTAGCCATGCTGAATTTCTGGCAGGTTTGCCCTTGTTTGTTAACCCTAAACTCTGTCGGTTGCTCTGCCCTCTGAGTACATATCCCACAGGTTCCAGAAGCAGTGTCCTCTGGGAGACTTCAAAAAGCAACTGATTGACTGTATTGGGAGGACAAGTTGAACCATTTCATCTAGTTTGTCCACCACTCTGGCACTAAAACTGTTTAAGCTGGATTGGTTCAGGTTAAGTCAGTATTTAGCTCTGCTGAAGTCCCCTCCAAATGGTATTTAGCATGCATGTAAACTGTTTGTAACACACCTCTCACAAGTGCTCCAATTAGACTGAACAAACAGGGCTTAGCATGGTGAATTTCTCTAGCGTAGACAAGACTTATGTCATTGGTACTGTATGTTGAATGATAAACCAAAAAGTTTGGGTCCTGAGGGCAGCATGTTGCTCGTGTGTTCTCTTCACCCACCTTCTCCAACCAGGGGAGATGATATTCCATTTTACCTCCTGACAATTTCCACTCAAATTTTTGCCCTCACCTTAAGGTGAAATTTTCAAGAAAGACAGTGCACACGCTCACACAAAAAATCCTTTTCAAAGCATCAAGCTCTTACATTTCCCTAATAAATTGTAGATCTTCTCACTAAATCTGCTGCAACACACCTAGAAGAAGTTTCTTTGAACAGGAACACCACTGCTTAGAGCAGTGTCGCATAATTCTATTCTAATGCACAGTCTTACAAAGAGATTGTTCCAGTGGCAACAAAATTCTTCAGTTAAGACTGACTGATTGTATTTGCCCCAACAGGGTAATTGTACAGCCGGGATAGTTGGAGTAGAGTCAGAAAAGAGTCAGAGCCCACACTTCCAGATATTACCCCTAGCTCTTTGGAATGTACAGCAAAGAAAATGTGAAGTTTCAAGTGTATATTAAAAATGTAATGTCCACAGAGCATGGGCTAGATTGTGATAATTCAAATACTGTATACTGCAAGTCTGCTTTTTTTTCTTTTTTCTTTCTTTCTTTGTCTTCTAGGCCCTCAGTCCGGTGCAAAGCTGGGAGCATAGGTAAAGAATGATGTAATGCAGTGGCAGCCCAAAAGCATCTTTTGTTTGAATTGTGAAATGGCTACTCCATAGTCGTCTCCTGATGAATCAGATGTGAGGGGCTGCTTTGTGGAATGAGTCCTTTGTAACAGCGCATCAACTGGAAGCAGAAGGAGACATTCACTTGGAGGGCTCTTTCTGAAAATGGGTTTAACTTTTCTTTTGCCAGTCACTACCAGCATGACCTCATACACTTTCAGTACAATGGAGTGGCTAAGCCTTTGAGTACATAGCCATTACATCATCTCTGCAAATTAGAGAGGGAGGTGGTAAAAGAGGCCTTATTGTTGTCATGGCTGATGAGATGATCAGGACTCAACTCATGGTTGCTGAGAGGTTGGTGGCTTTACTGGAAAGTGGCACAGAAAAATTGCTACTGATTGATAGCCGTCCCTTTGTGGAATACAATACATCCCACATCTTGGATGCTATCAATATCAACTGCTCCAAGCTTATGAAGCGGAGGCTGCAGCAGGACAAAGTGTTGATTACAGAACTCATTCAGCATTCAGCAAAACACAAGGTAAGGATGGTTTTTGCCTTTTTTATTATTTTTTTTTTTTTTATTTTAAGGCAGTGTGGAAGTAAAACTTTAAAATAAAATTAATTTACATTGTAGTGAAATGAGTAATGATGAACTGCAGTCTTCCACAACTTTATTATCTACTTCCCAGGAGCTACAGTAAATAAACTATTGGTGAAATTATGCTATAGGCGATACAGTAATGTTTAAGAATTTAAGATTACTCAAATAAAACTCCCCATCAGCTTACTTTTCTATAACCCTCTTAAGGGTTTTTCATGTAGTATGGTCCTTATATGTAGTTAATTCATATTTCAAGTATATGTTTCTGCAAATTAAACTTCAAACTTCTTGGTGTATGAAATATAGTGAATACCATGGTAAGGAGCCCCTCGAGAGACCAACACAAAAATCCAGTTGTTGGAAGTTGTTTTCTTTATACATGTGGAAGAGAACTATATTTAATACTTTCAAGGATTGTTTGGGATGGTCTTTTTTCAGGCAGCAAGGATTGCTTATTAAGGGGTTTCACTGTATGTTGTGGAAGGAAATGTGTAAATTAGAAAAAACCCACCCATTCTGGGTAACTGTGAAATATCTTTTGTTTGGATTGAAAAGGTAAGCATTTCAGAGTTAGGCCAATGAGAGAGAATTTGAAGTGTAACTTACGTGAAGCTATTTGTGGATTTTATTTAAGAGGTCTGTTAATGTTTTTCCAAAATATTTTGGGTTGGGCAGAAAAGATTGGGGGGGGCGGGGAAGAGAGTGAATGTCTGCATAAACTTTTTGCCTCAGGTTGACATTTTATACATGGTGTAATCTGGAAAGTCTAATTTTCAAAAAAGTTAATCAAATTTTATAGATGTAATAAAATATACTTGTAGCAGTTCAAGATCTTTTGGTTAGATAAATAGTTTGGGAGAAGAAACTAAAGGTTTGTTGCTTTACATTTGAATGCAAAACACCTTTAATTTCAGGTAAACTTTTTTTTAAAGTGGCTCAGATTTGCCCAGTGGATGAACCTCATGCAACAAGCTTCAGCCCTGATCAGATATTCCATTTACTAAACCCCGAAGGGATACAGTACAGTCAGGTCTAATAAGAGGTCTAAAAATGTCAGTTTTGTTTAAACCTGTATGTAAAATCCAGATACTGAAACCACTGTACAGTAAATATGTAGGGTCTCTTAATTCTGTTTGGTAAGGGGGAAGGTTTCCTATCCTTTCCCTTATCTGCAATTATTTGCTTTTCAGATTGAGATTGATTGCAAGCAGGAGGTGGTGGTATATGATCAAAGTTCCAAGGATGTTGCCTCTCTCTCATCTGAATGCTTTCTTACTGTACTACTGGGCAAGTTGGAGAACAATTTCAACTCTGTACACCTGCTTTCAGGTAGGATGCAAGAAAATCACTTGAGCGAGGGAGGGTGTAATTCTTTATATGTAGAGAGAGTGCACGCTTTTTTTGCTTTTTTGCATGTAGTAAGAAAAGTGTTGTACTGAACCTGCTGTAGTCAGTTCACTTCAGTTTATACATGTAACTGTAGGGTTTAAAAACAGTTACAGTACTACATGCAGATGTATATGCTGCACATGTGAGCATCTCTATAAAGCTTAAGGTCATGACTTCTATTTACACTAGGGCTCTTTACAGTATTCTGGCTCTGTAAAATCAGAATTGGGTCTTAGGCTTTTTACCTAGAAATGCTGATTATATTTGACCCTGAAGCAGCTTTAGGAATGCAGTTCCTGGCTCTTAAAGTCTTGTATACACTTGGGGGGAGAGGGGGAAGGAATGTCCCTCCATCGCTGAATCGGAGCATAGAATTAAAATGTCCACGCTGTGGAAACAAGCACCATATTCTCAGTCTTGTGTAGTTTTTAAATCTGTTCTCTCCCCTTTCCCCTGCTCTCAATTCTCTGAGAAACAGAAAGCTGAGACCCTATAATACAGGGTTAGTTTTTGTTTGGGGTGTTTTATGGGGGGAGGGTTGAAATGGAGGGGCAGCAGGTTCTCCTATTCAGAAGAAAATGCAGCAGACACACACACACATGTGATACCAAGTGAAGGGCGATAAAGTGAAGCCAGTGGTGGGAGGAAGAGAGAACTGTATATAGCAGTGGTTCTCAACCTGCAGCCCGTGGGCCGCTTGCAGCCCAATCAGCACAGAGCTGCAGCCCATGTGACATCCTCAGGGCCATACAGGTAATATTGGATGCAGTCCACATACCCTACACGGTCAGTCCCCTCCTTTCATTGAGTTACTTTCAATGGGTTAAGTGGACCAATGGGAGGCGCACACACATCAGTATAGGACTGAGTTCGGTCTCTGGGCCAAATAGGAGTCAGCAACACTGTGGATGCAGCACACTCAGCTTTTGGAGATGCGGCTTGTATCTCCTACTCTAGAACCCACATCCTTCACTTGGGCAGATTAAGGAGAAGAGTTGGTAGGCTAAGGAGAAGGGAGCTGAAAGAAAGGTTTGCAGGGCTTGTTTGGCAGGGGAGGAAAAATTTTAGAAACCTGCCCTCCAAAAACAACAAAAACCCTCAAAGAAATTACTTGAGTCATTGGGAAGGGAAAGGTGCATAGAAATTAAGGAGAAAATTGTTATAAGAAAATGGAATGCAGAGGGAAGGGGGAAAGGGAAAAAATTCTAAAGAAATGTTTCCTTGTAGCAGGAGGCTGCATTTGAGGTTTTTCAGTGACTTCATCCAACAGTGGTGGTGAATTGCTTTGGTTGCTGATAGAAACTGAGAAAATTGCCAACTCTAATTTGAAAGCGGGGTGTGAGGATCTCAGGGAGATCTTCCAACAGAGACAAACTTAACTAAATGCCTGTTGCTATTGATGCAGTGAAAAGTCTCCAGTGCTTGAAGCAAAATGAAGTTATAGTTATTTGACTTCAGTGGGAGCTATGCACAGACACAGAGTAGACTTGTTTAACTGTGTCTGAGTGCTTGGAGACTAGTTTTTACTTCTTGACTGTCTTATAAAGAGTTATACTTCTGAGCTTTAGTTTCAGTCTCTACAGCCAAATAATTCTTCTTGTGTATGAGACACCCCCCCCCCCCCAGCCCAGTAAACAGGAATAGTTTTACCCTCAGGGCACTAGATACATTTATTGAGAAATGCTGAGATATGTGACACATGCTTTATTAAAATTGAAACTGTTTTTGTTTACAATGGACTTGTTAGAAGCAGTTCATGCCACATCATGAAATCCTTTTTCTGATCAAATGTTACAAGTGTCTAACCTGTCCAACTGGCTATGTTGAGGGTGCTTCCTTTTTTTTAACATATACTGGACTGTTGCATCATGCCACAATACAAAGTAGTCATACTTAATGCACCCAGAGGGAAGACGTACCAAATTCTTACTCCTAGAAATGCCATACAGCCCCATAATAACTAAGGGACAGATCACCTGCAGAGGAACCTGAAGGAGGCGGCCAGAGAAGACTCCATGAGGCTCACCTCCCAGCATTTTCAAGGAATCATCATCCTCTAATGGGAGTGGGGAGATCAGTTATGGGATCAGTGAGGAAAAGACACCTAAGTTCTGTGGAGATTGACACTCTGTGCATCTGTTGTTGTTTTCCTACTGGTGATATCGCTTGTGTCAGCTGTGATGGAGGTGCAGTAGGACTCAGTACTGCTTTGGAAACAGCAGTGTGTGTTTAATAAAAAAAAAAGGATGGAAAGCTGGGTGCTGAGCAGGGGAACATGTTCAGTCTCCTGCTCTGCTCCCACCCACATCCTCCATGTGCCTCCTAATCTCCATGGAGAGAAGACCCCAAAGAGCAGCCACAGACTCTTCTGTGGCGTCTAGGTGACGAGTGAGTGATAGTGCAGAGGGAAAGCACCCCAACTCTCCATGGCCAGGGCAAATCCCACTTGTGTAGGTCATGTTTACACTAGGAATAAACGTTTATTATTGGCATGCTAGTTACGTGTTTAAAATTAAAACTTGCCTGGCCTGGTCTAAACTATTAAAGTGTTAACTGATCAACGTAAACCTAGGCTCCCCACTAAAGTTGAGCCCCAACCAGCTAATGTGTGACTACCCTAGTGTAGACAGGACAATATATACTTTAACATGTATTTAAAAACCTCTTTTCTTAGTGAAGGTGAGGCTGTAGATTCACCCTCACATAAAGTGGGGATAATCTGGTTTTTGTGGTTGCAAAGTATAAACATAATTGAGAGGTGGAAATATTTACTACATGTAGTAGATTAATAACTGTGCTATTTCAGGAAAGATGAGCCAAATAAGAAACGACTATGAAAAAAAAATTGATATAACTATTTGTATACTCAAACTACACTGCTTCATTGCCAAATTTCCTTCTTTTATATCCAACTTCCTCTGTTTTTAGTATTTGTGTAGGAAAATATCTTGCCCAGTCTAAAATTCTGTTTATTTTTAATAGAAAGTTTGTAACTAAAAAAGGAGCAAGTCTTACACAAGTGGTGATCTATGATTCTATGACAGGGCTATAGATTAGGCCACAGTAGGAAATGTAATCTTAGAAAAGTTGCCTTTCCTGCTTGAGAGTATTTTAACTCTGAGTCTAATGGAATGAATCTCTTTTTGCCTGTTTTTAAAAAAAAAAAAAAAAAATGTAAAAATTAATTTAAAAAAAAAAAAAAAAAAGCAATAGCTTGCTGGTGCCTTGCTCTGTAGAAGACTGGATACAATTGTTCTTTCAGCAAGTTCATGACAAATCCTTGTATAACATTTATGGCTAATAACGAGTTTAGGGGTCACTGCACTTTGCAGAAAGGAAAAACTTAAGTCTAAAGGTTTTTCTTAATCGCTGTGTAGCTTATTTACAACAATGACCTGAAATAAATGTGTTTTTTGCGGGAGGAAACAAACCAGTCTCAACAACCGTTAATAGACTTCTTGGGAGTGATCTCACTGATCCCCATTACTGAGTGTTCAATGAGGTGGTTTTTTGTTGTTGTTGTGTTTTTTTTTTTTTTTTAAATTGAGGCTTAATATAAAGGCACGCTCCCCCTTGAAGATTACTTTTAATTGAAATTACAAATGGAAAGCTCCTTAAAGGGACACTATTAGCTAAAACCCTTGATTTGACCTAGTAAAAACACTTAATCTTGTAGGCAACATTCTTAGGATTCTTAAGATCTGTTTTGGCTCTTAAATTTACTACTGTGCTCACGATATTGAAAAATGGGCACCTACTGCTTATCCCTATTCCCAGTGCAGTCAGTGGCACAACTCCCATTGACTTAAATGGGATCAGGATTTAAAAAACCAACAACTTGTGACTTGAACATTCTGTTCCTACCTCTCAAAAGTGGACGGTGTCTTAGCCAAGACCTTTTTTTTAAAGCCACTATTGTTGTTGAGGTGGTGTTGCTTGTTGCAGGAGCAGATCCATTATACACATGTAAAAATGTCTAGATCCAGGCCTAATTCTGTAACCCTTTGACACAAACATAGTTCCAGTTACTTCATTGGGATTGCTTTTGGGTAAGGAAGGGTGGCAGCAATAGGGCCCATTTTGGTGGTAAGTCTCAAGGGCCACTTTTACTTCCGTCAGTCACTGAACTGCCACATGCATTTGATGCGCCCATTACTCCTGGGGGAATTCTGCGCAACTGCGCAATGCAGAATTTTGCAGAAATTAATGTTATGCACACAGAATTTTCTTTCCCCCACAGAAATGGACTGCTAGCCACCACTAGGGGCCACCGGACCCAGCACAGCTCAGCTCACACATAGACACTGCTGAGGGGAGGGAAAAGGAGATAGAAGGCTCCTGGTAGCTGCAGTTACCAGTGCGCACTGAGGGAAGGAGAGGGCAGCATGCAGGAAACTCCATGCAAGCCTGGAGCATCAGGCTGTTTCTCCCTCAGGATCCTTGGGTTCGGGGGGGAGGGAGGGGCAGAGCAGTTGTCTGAGCTGGGGGGCTTATGGCTGGCCTGTGGAGGGGCTGGGGGTGTGGGTATCTGGGCAAGGGGGAGAGGGTGCAGGTATCTGGGATGGGGAGGCCCTGTGGCTTAGCTGTGAGGGGAAGGGGGGGGGGGGTTGGGTGTATTGGCTGTGGGGGCCCTGCTGCTGGGCTTGTGGGGCAGGGGAAGGAGGCAGAGAAACAGGAAGTGGGTTGTCATAGGAGTTTCTTATACACAAATTCCCCCAGGAGTAGAGTGTTAGTCTGTATTGTCAGCAAGTATATGTCTGTAAAAGGTATTTTGAAATAAATTACCAAAATAATTGAAACTGGTGTGATTATGTAGTGTTGTTTTGACAAAAAATGTGCAGGATTTTAAAATATTATTCACAGAATTTTTAATATTTTGGTGAAAAATGCCCCCAGGAGTAACCCATGTAGCACTATAACTGGCATCTTACAACTGCACA